GAACGACTAGTAATTTGATAAATACGCATAAATATTAAGTTATCTAAATACGTGATATTTAATGTTCTTCCCTTAGTTAGATCGATACGTTGAATTAAAATAGTAAATATCATACAAACAAAACACTCGTATAGTGAATAACCTATATGTGATGTAGATGTATGTATAGGAAATAAATTACAGTGCCACGTTAGTAAATGGGAATCTTTTATAGGTTTCCAATAATTAAACTCGATGAAAAGAATCGAGATATAGGAAATTCAACAACATAAAAATGTGATAGCTAATAGCGATATAGTGATCTACAAGTATAGTCTGTAGTACACGACATCTGTCATTAACGACAGGTGTCATATTACAAGGTACATGAAAATATAAAAAATATATATTTATTTAAAACTAAAAAGTGGGTCTGTCAAACGCGTTTCTGATCTATTTTACGTTACGATTTATTTATAAGCAATGATGTTAATAAGACATATTTAAGTATCATAAATATCTAGAGATCGTAATTTATTATTTACTACGTAAGCGAATTCTGAAAGACGTATATTTGATATTTAGGGAAAACGTAGGTAAGCATTTAACCTGCAGCGTTATCTACTTCAAAATTTATGAAATGACTATACTACGCTAAACTTGATATATCTGCGCAGGTGTAACGCGTAACCCTGCAAAATATGTGAGTCCGGCTTCGAATCCTGGGGAATCTGAATTAATTGTTTCTGTAAAGCAGTGAAAAGAGGCTATGATCTATGAGGTTTATTTTGTACATCATTTTTTTTACTTAAGTTTAAGAGATTTTTTTTCAATGTAGGTCAAAAAACTATGTTGTAAGCTTGCTCTGGTTTCCTGTGACCGCATTCGGCTATTACAGAGAACTAGAAAAAACTGTTTCGTTTACTTAAGTAGGTAGTGAATATTTTTAGCTCTCCCTTAATAAAGCAAAAAACGATTTTATACGTGGACTTAAAATAATGATTCAAAGTATATTTATGTAGATTATTTTATAAAATGTCGACATTTTAATGTCGAAGGCAGAAATATATCCTAATTTCCTATTATACGAGAAGGAAATTTTGCATTTAATGATGGTTTTTTGAGGGTTAATTCGGTTTTATACCAGTGAACATACTATTGATACAGTTCGTTATAGTTATTTTTAATTAATAAAATATAAATGATATCTCAAAACAATTTATACTACATGTAAAGATAACGTTTTTTCGCGTTTTACTAATAAATTTATGTACTATTTTGTTTAAGCAATAAAAATTAAAAATACAAAAATTATCAACTATAATGACGTATATGATATTTTTATGGTACAACCTATTGTTATTAAACTATTTTAACCAAAAAAAATGTAAGACACGTGACGTGAGTCGCGCCCGTGTCGTCAATTTTTTTTCAATCTGAATAGACTAAGAAATGGCCATCATATTATGTAATTTAAATAAAACACTTTAACGCGATATATCAGTTTAAACTAATATATCGCGTTTTAAACCGTTAAAATGTTTTATTTAAATGTGTACTACTCGCGTAAACCATAGACAGTATTTCATCATATGTAATGACATGTGAAAAATTATTAAAGTTAGCAAACGCCTGAGTTTTATTTGTATTGTACATGGTTGTTAAACATCAAGTATTTTAACAATGCGATCGTTGCAAAAAGATAAATGTAATACCCACTTGAACTAATGGAATTGAAACGTATTGAAGTTAAATACTGTCTATAGTTTACGCGAGTAGTACACATTTAAATAAAACACTTTAACGGTTTAAAACGCGATATATTAGTTAAACTTATTTGAAAATGATTTTTAACTTCGGCCCGACGTTTCGGATGCTTTACAGCAGCCGTGGTCACGGGGAGACTAAAGATGGAGGATGTCTCTGACGTCAAAGTAAAGAATTGCTACGCTTTATTGCTAACAGATGGCGCTAGCGTAGCAATTCTTGTCGTGTCCAACTTAAATACACGTAAAATTAAAACACTCTAAGTAGGTATATCATTCGCATAAACAGCAGATATAAGTCGATTTGGCAATGTGAACTATTTGCTACGTAATTACATTTAAGCTGATTCATCATCGACCTTGAAGATTTTGCCAATTCGGGATTAACTTGTAAGCGATTGGATCGTAATTTGTAGTATGACTTGCGTATACTCGTGACGTCATATCGGATTTTCAACTACGAGATTAAAAAGCTAAAAAGAAAATAAGAGAAAAAGGCATTTTCACCTTCCATCATAATATTAACTCCTAAGTCCTAAAAGAGATAAATAAGCAAAGAAGGAATATCGTATGAGTATACTTCTGAGTGTCTGTTTATTGCTAGATATTCTTGTTTAAGGAAGAGTTAATGGCATCAACTTTAGACGAAATTAATTTAAGCGCAGAAGGTAAATTACAAAAAACTAAAAAACGGTTACAATATGAAATAAGTATCTAGTCAAAGGTACGGAATCCTTGCGCGTGTTCGACTCACTTTGTCTGTTTTATAATAATCTATAACATAATACCGCGAACGTAATCCAAATGAATTATGACCGGGTAGCGATTGATAGTGATTTGTAAATCATTACTTCATATTTTATTTCGAATCTTAGATACCTTTTTTTAATTATAGAGGAGGACAGAGAAGCATTTAAATTAGATGCACTGTGATTAAACATTACGGCTTTTTTATCTGTGGACGGTGGTTCGTGACCCGGACGGAATTTCAAAATTATAAACTGTTAAAAAAAAATTTAAACCACCAGTAGTTTCAGTGGGAGAGAAATATGGTCAACTACTTCCATGTAAAGACACTCGAAAGGCCAAATAAATGTTCGCCTCATTGTTCGAAGGGGAAACGTGCCTTATATGTATTTCAGTACGCTACCTAATTGCTCAGACATACGATGGGTGAAAGGTATGTTCGGGTGAGTTCGTCCCGAATGAATTTCAGTGTAAGTAATTGATAATCACGAGAGTGAACGTCATTTGCCACGCCCGAAACCCAAGTATCTACGAAGTAAGTAATATGATGTATCGTAAATAACGGTCAAACATTAAGGTGAAATCCCGTTTTCCCAGTGGGGCACGGGGCGAACGCATCACTGTGTCCGTTTCACTGATGGACTTTTTTTACAGGCAAGCAGTTGATCAGACTTCCGTGCCCTGCCCGATAGAAACAATTTATCCCCTGGGATTCAAATCCACGACCTCTCGCGGTTAATGTAATGCTAAACGTTTAACCATTTGGCTACAGACTCGGTGAACGGGAAGGTATATGGGTTCGATTTCTACAACGTTAACTTTATATCAATTCATGAAAGCGATTAGGTGTGTCTGATTTAATTATCTAATTAAAGGTTCGATGACTTATTTTTCTTCTTAAGGTATAATGGTGTGGTATGTGGTAAGTCTGTAGTTTGCGAGAGTATAACAAATCGATATAGAACGTTTTTAACGGTTTAAAACGCCAAGTATATATGTTAACTTAATTTTATCTGCTACCAAGCGTTCCGGGTAGTTTGTAGCAAATACGGCCGCTAGTTAAATTATTTTTAACTATGTTTTTTAGTATTTTGAAAAACAGATAACATATTTTCAAGATTAGATCATGATTATTTTAATGTAGTAAGCACCTGTGTACATAATATTGCACTTGTTTAAATTTGGAATCTTACATTCATTGAAAAATCTGTTAATTCTTGAATTTATTGAAACGTGACGTTAGTATGTAAAGGTTGGTGTTTAAAGTATTCGATTAGATTAAAGCGAAAAATTGAATCATAAAAGAAATCCGATTATATGTTCCAAAATGTTTGAGGATAACGATAACTATAATCCGCTTATTATAAAATAATCGGTATGTATATATATGATGTTGGCTAACACTTTTTATGACATTTTTTAAATGTTAATAATTAACTGTGACTTACATTTTTTTAAATTTTAAGTAAAATATAAAGATAAACCGTATTTAATAGTTAATAAGAGGAAAAAAAATAAAAATAAAGCGATAAGTTAAAAGTATTACAAATAAAGCGCAAACATAAATACCAACCATAGTTTTATTTAAATAGCGCTAATTAAAATTGAAACTACAGATTTGTCTAAAACATTACAAACATTATCTAAAATGTAGTAATAACTAACCAAATTCAAAATCATCTCGATATATCCTATCCAATAACGATAGTGTGTACTATATATCGTATTGTGATGATATCGTACGAGTATAAAAACGAGCACTATTACGATAAAAGCTATTAATAAACTCGTACGCAAGAGCTACTTAATTCAATTTGGATCACTGTAATCTATGCGAGTACTCGACAGATATCAGAAACAATGATAAGAGCTACACGTAATATTTTTATCGAACCACAAAAAATACAAACGTAATTAAATGTTATTACACTTGATAGGCAAAGATCTCTTATGTTGGTTAGTGATAACGAAAGATATTGTGTTACAACAAGATTCTCTGTTAAAAATTTCAGCGACATAAACAACATTCTGTTTCCCTTCTGCATTTTGTTGATAAACATACGACATGCCAGACTATAAACTATTTAATATGTATTTCACGGTTGATGTTGAAACGACTAACGCAGATCGTTTAACTACTGAGCCGTGGGGTAACTATGTCTGTAAGTGTCAGCATCAGAAGCTGTGGTCAGCCTAATTAATACTTTTTGGTTTAATATCAGAAATTGGCTCTAAGCTCGGTAGTTCCGATTGTTTACTTTTGTAAAGGTTACAGTATTTTTTTGTATACTTACTTGGTACTTAATTACATGTATACTTACTCAAAATTGTCAAGATTTCTGGCATATAGTGTACTAAAAACTAAATAAAAATAGTTGGCTGATGTACACGATAAAATTGTAGCCGAGACCTGCCAATAATCTCTTATCTCAGTCAAATAAAAGTTCGAGCAATGTTTGTATATGCTGATAAAGTATTATTACATGATATATATTAGCAAATTGTAATCTAATGTCTAGTATGGGTATACCACCTTTCAAAGAAAACGTCGGAGCCATCAGAGTCGCTGCGCGGCAGTATCAACTTCGGTAGCACCATTCCTTTCTTTCGCCTGCCTCGGATGCCAGACGGAGAAGGCCACTGAAGTTCATTCACAGCCATTGGACTGTGCGGGCTTAAAATAGTCAGCCGACGCTCCGGTGGAGGTAAGCTGAGCTGTTGCAAGGCGCGTCTTTCGGTGCTTGCGAATAGCCCGCGTCGTTTCTCCGCGTTCCCCATATCCTCACCAGACAACGCTCGTCGAGCTGGCGCGCCCCGCGTTTCGCGTACATCTCTCTCGCTGGCTGTGAGAAACGAGCTGCGGTGAACGCGAACTGAGGTGCACGAGCTTGCAGGGCGCGCCGGCGACGAATCTTTACTTGGACGGAGACTCTCCATAGACCTCGCTGTCTCTACACGCGCAGCAGCTAAGTACTGCCCGCTCGTTATTGTTGTTTGGGCAACCTCGCACTCTTCTTGACTGGAACTCGAGGTGCCACTGCGAGAGAATGTGCTCGTTTTTGATACGAAGCTTCTGTCACTGTATTGAGCTGTTGAAATACTGGAGGTGTTAGCGTCATTAGATTCCGCTGACGCCTGCTGACGAACCAACCCTTCTTCTAAAGAAGAATGAACGACTCTCGCATTTAACGAACTAATGGCAGCGAGCTTAGGCCGCCTGTTTTTCCTTTCATCTTCGTCTTCCTCCATTTTTTATTGTTTTATGATAAAACTTTGATTACACGTTCACAGCACTAATACACAGATATATTTTGTATACATTTATTTAGCTTACATAAAATATTAGAATTAGAACATAGTAAAAAGAACACTGTACACAGTCTTTATCACTCCTGAATATCACCTCACACGCATTCGATTGAAACCTGTAACAAATATGTAAACTTATATATAAATACATTAACATAAGATATGCAATAATGAAAATTATTGAAAATGATACTCGTTTCAACTCGAACTATGGCTGTATGTTTTGTTTTGTTGCAAGCAATGTATAGAACATTATAAGAATTAAGTAAAGTCCATAGATGTCATGCTATACAATTGTCGTATCCTTACATGACTTAATTGGCTGCTTTGGAGTCAAGCGCGAGTTGTCCCGCTTCGTTAGCGCAATCCGTCAGCGCTTTGAGTTGTTCCGCATTTAAACCAGATGCTTTTACTCTGACGTCTGCACTTTTAGAATGCTCTTTGCTTTCACTGCTCGACTCGACTCTTTTTGTTGTCTTATTTCCGTGTTGGTCTATGAAAGTTTCCTCTTCGAACTCTTCCTCATAGCTCTCCTGGTATGACTCCCTGAATTCCTGCCGAGCTTGGATGCTAACGGCTCCCGTGGTTTGTTTCTCTTGTATCACCTGATCCATGGTCTTTTTGACAAGCTGTTGGCCGGCTTCCAATCGTTCAGACATTGTAATATGTAGGTTATCTAAAATTGTGAACATTCTTAAGTATTGCAGATACAATTACAAGTGGTAAGAGAAAGAGTAACTTATAATCCCGGTCTTTCATGTAATACGTTTAAAGCTAGTTCAGTAGCAACATACAAAAGTTAATAAGTAGAATTTGAAATGACAATTCTTCGGTATTTCATAACAAATGAGAGGATCGTTTTGACAATATTAAAGAAAATACGACGCTTGGAGCAGTGCCAAGCAATGTGAACAAACGTGCTCTACAATTTGGATTTATTTGAAGTGTACAAAAATATTAACTTCACGTACCGACTGTACTTCGAGACGTGTGTGGGTACCGATGTAAATCTTTTTATTATTTCCCAAAATAACGCGATGTTTCTTTTGCGTTTGATTGATGTTCTAGAATGAATTCGAACGTTCCGGGCACAATAATAACGCGGTATTTCAGAACCTTGACGAAAGTTTTCAGTTACGCCAATTGTTTGTATTTAAGTCTCATCTTTCTTAACTAATTACTCTAAAGTATTTAGATACTCAACTTATTTGTAAGGGAAAGTTATGAAATGGCTTTAAAGACGTATAAAATAGAATAGCTTCACGAAAGACCGTCCATTTTGCATATCAATGACTATGGGCGACAAACCTAACAATTTAAAAAGAATTTCGGCTTTATTTGAAAGAAGAAATTTTTGAAGAAATTAAATTTAACTGAACTTTATTCTAAATACGCTAAAAATGTTATAAAATGTTACATCAGCTAACGGGGTATTTGCAAAGATAATAAGTAAGTATTGTTTCAACTACCTGACACTTCCAAGTTTATAACACTGCCGTTGAAATCACAGAGATTTTTATTGATATTAAGAACTTATCCAAAGCAAAGCTCGCGGTGGACTGAGAAAAGTCGTTCTTTGTTCCGCGATCGAGCTTTGCGTGGGCGACGCGACGTCCCTACAGTCTGCGCGCGCGTCTTGGCCAAAATAACTAAACATGCGCTGGCAAATAAACTGAATCACAGTAATTAATTCTGTTTTTGACTTGATTCTTCTAATAATTAACGCTGTTTCAAATGATTTTATTGCATTTCTAGGAAGCCAAAACATTCGTAGCCAATTTATTTTTATCTTAATAAGTAGTGACGAATTATTTTAATTATAAATAATAATGAGTAAAACGAGTCTTCAAACCGTCTTTGTGGTAAGTTCGAAAAGAGTTGTCGTCACTGCGGCGTAAATTTATCTTATCCCTTTCACAATCTCGCTCTATCAAATTAAACGGATTTTAAAAAGAAGCTATTTCCGACAATTTCCTTTAGACGAACCTCTCTTAAGAATTATTACTTTAAAGATGTAAATAACTTGTTTAATAAAAACATTGCTAAATATTCACATGAGAATTCGTTAAATTGTTAAAACAAAACTAACATTTTTTAAATGATATGTAAAAAATATATATTTTATCTGACTGCGGCATTTTTGAAAGAAATAAGTTCTAGCTCGGTAGCTCAATTGGTAGAGCGACAGCACGGAACGCTGACAATGCCGGTTGAAGTCCTGCCCGAGTCGAACATTTTTTCAATTTATTTTCGATGTTTAAATTAGAAGGAATTTTGTGTGACTCAGTTTGTATGTACAAATTCATTAAACAATTATAAATCTTCTTAGGCTGGTTACCATGATTAAGACTTATCGCAATTTAATCAAAAAAAATCTGTTTTATCTTACGATCGCGGGAAATTAGCGATAAAAACTAGGCGATAGAATTTTATGAAAATATCTTAAAGGGATCATATCAGACCAACTGGTCTATTACCTCGCAATATATCCCAATAATCTTCATTTGAAGTCTTAAAATAGAGTGAATACGTCAAGAGATGATATGGTGTTGATGGCAGCCTGTGGGGGCGGGATACATCAAACATGATTGGCAAAGCTTCTCATGAGTCACCGAATGATTCCTCTTTAATGGAATTTGTTACTCATCATACATCACATTTCTTTTAGTAAATGCCCTTTAACTAGCTTTTGCACCCATAGAATTTATAAATACAAAACGATGAATTTCTACTAAAAAGTTATTTGTTCTAGTTTGAATTTATTTATTTTTAAATAATTTCTTTCGTTCGTTTGGAAGCTTTTAAATAAAAAAAATTTAACGGTTTAAAACGCGAAATGTATTTGTTAACCTATTTACAAAATAATTTTAATTACGGCCCGACGCTTCGGCTTTGCAGCAGCCGGTCTTGGGGGGACATTCGAAACGTCGAGCCATTGTTGAAAGAAATCGTAAAAAGTATGATATATTTCACGTTTTAAACCATTAAAACTGTATATTTAAATGTATATTACTCTAAAAAGTAGCGGCCAAAATATCGGTCAGACATTTACTGACTCACAGTATTACGTACTACTAAGACTACTATTAATATCAAATAAAAGCGAGTTACAGACGGTATAGGTGACAAAGACTAAACGTTAATGCAATGTAAAACAATATTTTATAGTAATTCATAGAAAACAATTCTATGTACATATTATCATACCATCTTTTTCTTTGTACCTGAAGTTCTTTCTATTTAATCATTAATGAGATCTCTTATTTGATACGCGTATCGACCTGGCTCGAGCAAAATGCTTCTTTCCGTCTTTAAAAATCTAGGTCGTAGTTAAATGGTTTTTTGTTATATCGAACATATTTCTGTTAATCGACGGATAATTTTTCACGATGCAAATACATATGTCATCTTTACATGCACACTTCTTACTAGGTACATGTAATATGTCATGTATATTTTTGTAAGTATTAAGTCCCAAGATTTATAAATAGATACTATTAATAAATAATATGAGATTCTTCTTCTTCTTTCTTTTTCAATAAAGAATATTTCATAATCGCGTCCACGTTTTAGCAATATTTTTTATAATAGCAATATTCCACTTTCCAAAGGCCGAAAAATTATTTTACCATAAATGATTCGACGTTTAAAAGTTCGGCGAAAAAAGAATTTTAAAGCCACATTTTTAGGGGAAAAATTTCCCGCAAAGGTAAGCTAATGTTTACTTTATTCTAGAGTACAGAACACGGGAACACTCGACAGCGGAAAGCCTAATAAAAACAAGCACAGATTTTTATATCATCCATTTTATTACCCTTTTAAGTATCCGTCTTATAATATGAAGGGGTGTAATGGACAGTCCTTTAAAACCCTTAATGGAGTTCAAACATCTATAACTAGAGATGGGTCGGACGAAATTTAAACCGAAACCGTAATGTTACCACACACATTCGGCTTATGAAATATTAACAACTAATCTATAATATAATATAAAAAACTTGACTAAACCTCTGATGCTTTATCTTCGGTAATTACCCATGTTTGTAAATATATACAACCTTATTTACTTTATTATGATAGACTTTTTTAAAATAGTTATTTTATGATAGAGGAGGACAGACAATCATAGGACTCACGTGATTTAAAGTGAAATATCTCAGCCATATAACGAGTAAACAAGATAAGCTGTCGATCTGTTTTGGCTTCGGATATTCAAAAATCCACAGACTAAAACTCGATAAACTTGATAGTTGCACGTTGGGTCGTAACCCGAACGGAATTTAGATATTCCTACCATCCATACAGATGTCCAGATGAAGTCACCTACATGTTTCAGGCAAAAATTAGAAACATGTTCGCCTCGGTGGAGACTGAATCCACGACTCTTAGATTATCAGCCGTACATTGAAAAACTATATTCAGAGTAAAAAAAATGTTTAGCCGCATTTTGGCAATTCAACGTAAGTAACGTTACCGAATATGAAGTGCAAAATCATCCGGACTGACCGGCCCATCCCTAATCTATATTCATAAAACGGTCTTCGTCTAAATTGAAGCTAGGTATAGGTCTTTGTTATAATATGAGTGACATCAAGGTGAACAATGCTAAGGCGGAGAACATTTACTTAGTTGAGTCATTAAATTTTCAGAACACCTGTGTTTGTTACTATGTTACTGATACAGTTTCAGAAACGGTTTGCGAGTTAATGTCTTGCTTTATTGCCTTTCTTGGTAATAAATAAACTAAGTTATTTTATTATTGCTGTATACATTTGTATTGTATAGTAAAATAACTAAGTTGTGCTACAGATACTTGATAAAATATGAAGTATACTACAGAAGTAAATTATTACAATGAACACAATTGTAATATTTACAGTAACAGAATAAAATATACTGAATAAAGGACATCAATCATTAAATTTGTGTAGCAAATTTGTTTCAATCATCGCCAGGTTATTGAATTTGGTAATATTTTTTTACGACAAACTTTGTTTCCACTATTTCACAATGCTAATAAAAGGCCAATAAAATATAACGATCGACAGGAATTTCACGGAATAGTCATAACTTTTATTTCGTTCGCATTCTTTATTGCGTAAACTACACCTAGGGCGAGCCACGCTGATTCAAACTTTAATATCTTCAACCATATTGTAATGGCCCTTATTGTGACTTAATACATTTTATAAAACTAATATAATTTATGAATAAAAATCTAGTGAAGATGTATAACAAGCCTAAATGGCTTGATCAACGGTGATGCGATTTTGTATCAATATTCGAGACATTGAACTCGATGAGTTAAATATATATAACTGATGATAACTGTATTTCTTTTTGTTTAAAAAAAACTTCACATTATTAAAATTTGGTTATTAAATTTTACCCAGGTGGGGCAATAGGCAAACATATTTCTGTATCCGTTTCACATCCGTTTTATTTACATGCAAGGTGATCTTATCCATTTAGTTAAAGAAACGAAAGTGCAGGAACTTTATAGCATACATAATAATTCTTACGTGCGTATTTTTTTATAGTTAGTAGCTTATAGCATGCAGTAGCATGACGTGGAGAAATTTAAAGGCGACTAAAAATGGCTATGCACAATAATTGAAACGTGAGTAATGTCATCTGAAGCGAAGTATGCTTCGCTGGACAGTCCGGACAAAAAATATTCACCAACTGAATGTCCACGCTCACGCTAATTTATGTTCGTTCAAAATAGAATCGCAGTATGCAAAAGGATTTAGAATTTCGACGACAAAAATAGTTTTATTTCGTAGAACAGCACTGTATGTAGTCTTAAAGTTGAGTCCTGTCTGTTTTTGTGAAGTTACCAATATTACAATTAAACGCTATATAAATTAAAAATCGATTGTAAATTGAAAAAAATAAATACCTCCAGCATCCTCAGCGTTCCGTGCTTTTGCTCTAACCAATTGAGCTACCGAGTCTTACACGTCATCGTTGATTTTTTTTCAACTTATTGATACATGCACTTATCGCGGAGTGGGATGCCGGTTCAAGTCCTGCCCGAGTCGTAATTTTTTTCAGTATATAATCGCCTTCCATTTTTGAGAGAAATATTAGAGTTTTAAAAATTGAACGCGTGTACCTAAAACAAAGCTCCTATTTTGTTTCCTATTTGATATCGGTAAAAAAAAATTTACAATAAAAGTAGGATGACTAATTTCCAAAGTCAATGTTATTAAGAAAACTCATTTATAGCGTGGATTTGAAGGCTCATAATACTGACATTTCTTAAGGTAACTTAACAATTATCAAATTTTGAAGTAACGATAACTTCAACCTACTCCCAACAATGGCGTACAACGCCTTTCATTACGGTTATTTGATTTCGAAACAAGAAAACACCTCTCGATTTCGACGATCGAAGTTACGACGTGGATTTAACGATAATACTGCTTTCGATGTTTGAAGGCTGTTTGACAGCTAACTAATGAATGATATTACTGACTCACCGGGTCATTTTGTACCCGGTGATTTATGAAAGGTTACGCGACCTTTAGCACCTTCAGAAATTGTAGGTTATGGTGCATCGTAGCGGGGCACGCGAAGGCCCCTTCCGTCACAGCTGATGTATATCTGTCCCTCGTAGCTACAAGGTCTACGACATATTAGCCGCTCGTAATTAGATCAGCTTAGGCCAACTTGACGTGCCAATTATGGGGTAGAGACCTCTTGGAATATTATAAGTAAATAAAGCACACATCTATGAACTTACGACTATCGATTGTCACTTGTTTTGGAAATAAACACGAGGATAGAGACAATGCGATTCTCAATTGTTTCTAGTTGAAATTTTAGCTTTAAAAAATACTTTTATGACTTAAAACGAGAATTAATATATTAATTAACCTTACCTTACCTTTTGCAAATTAAGGATTATAATAATATTCTTTTATTAATTGATTAGGCAATTACGACATTTTGTATACTTTACGTCTACAGTACCCCCTCTACCTACTCGACAATTGCCTTGTACTTTGTACCACGCTCGTAAACTTCATATACAGAAATATTGAACAACGCCTTGAAAATATTTTAGTGGACAGAAAATGTTTCTAGATACAAACATTTTCTTCTTTATCACGAGAACGAAAATTCTATGCTAGCATACATTTTAATCATAAAATGTTCTGCAAAGTTTATCCAACTTTCAAGTCTATAAACGCATTCAAAGCAACATAAACGAATCATTTATTGCTTATTTTCAACAAACAATTTATTTGTTATTTAACTTTAGCCAATTACTTTAAACCGTTGATTGTGTTTTATTTAAATGCGTGCGTCGCGTAAATTACAGACAGTAATATGTTATTTTATTTATTTACAAAAATATAAAACTAGCGCTCCTACGCGGTTGTAACCCGTGTTTGCTAGATATTAAAGATTCAAGCAGTAAAAAAACAGCTCAGTTGTTTACAGGGAATGAAGAGAAAACTTAGCGTAGCAATAATTTTTCTTAAGAGTAACACATATTTAGCACCGTTATACGGTCTAATGTATTATTTTACTCGCATTTGAAACAGTGTCGAGTTATTCCAATAAATATTTTTAAC